CACACACTCACACACACAGTCATACACACACTCATACACACAGTCATACACAGTCATACACACACACACATACACACACACACTCACGTGGAACACGTCATAGACACGTGAGCATACACACACACACATACACACACACACATACACACACACACATACACACAGACACGTGGAACACGTCATAGACACGTGAGCATACACACACACATACATACACTCACACACACTCACACACACACATACACACATACACACAGACACATACACACAGTCATACACAGTCATACACACAGTCATACACACTCAGTCACACATACACACATACACACACACACATACACACACACATACACAGTCACACACTCATACACACACACACTCACGTGGAACACGTCATAGACACGTGAGCATACACACAGTCATACACAGTCATACACACACACACTCAGTCACACACACACATACATACACACACATACACACAGTCATACACACACTCAGTCACACACACATACATACACACATACACATACACACACTCAGTCACACACACATACACACACACACGTGGAACACGTCATAGACACGTGAGCATACACACACACTCACACTCTCACACAGTCACACACAGTCATACACACATACACAGTCATACACACACACTCACACAGTCACACACAGTCATACACACACACTCACATGGAACACGTCATAGACACGTGAGCATACACACACACATACACACAGTCATACACAGACACTCAGTCACACACATACATACACACATACACATACACACACACTCAGTCACACACACATACACACACACACGTGGAACACGTCATAGACACGTGAGCATATACACACACTCACACACACTCACATACACACATACACACACACACAGTCACACACATATACACACACACACGTGGAACACGTCATAGACACGTGAGCATACACACACATACACACAGTCGTACACACACACTCAGTCACACACATACATACACACATACACACACACTCAGTCACACACACATACACACACACACGTGGAACACGTCATAGACACGTGAGCATACACACACATACACACACTCATACACACACACTCACACAGTCACACACAGTCATACACACATACACAGTCATACACACACACTCACACAGTCACACACATATACACACACACACGTGGAACACGTCATAGACACGTGAGCATACACACACATACACACAGTCGTACACACACACTCAGTCACACACATACATACACACATACACACACACTCAGTCACACACACATACACACACACACGTGGAACACGTCATAGACACGTGAGCATACACACACATACACACACTCATACACACACACTCACACAGTCACACACAGTCATACACACATACACAGTCATACACACACACACATACACACACTCACACACTCACACACACACAGATACAGAACAACAACAACAACCGCCATTCGCCACTAAGTGGCGGTGACGTCACCACGACGCTTGTGCCAGGCTATGTGCACCTTGAGGCCACGTGAAGTGTCGAACGCCCGCTGGCAGGAGGTCACGGGGCAGACCCAGCAGGTGCCACGGGTCGACTGACTGAGATGACTTGCTGATGCACCACCTGTGCCCCCTACTGTGCCAACCTGCTGTGCTTTAGCCACCCGGCGCTCCGCTCGTTGTTGTGAGCGTCGCTCCTCCGCCCTCCGTTGTTGTTGGAGGGCGACTGCCTCCAACTGCCCAGTAGCGTCCTTCACGAGCCTCCTCCACAGAGGCCGATCTTGACACCGCTGGTACCAGTCATCGGTAAGTCCACTCAGCTCCACGTCCTCCTGTAAGTCCCAGGCTACTTTGGGCTCGCCTTCCCATCAACCGGAGGCGAGGAGTGGTGGTCGTGGTTACTTATGCCCCCACCGAAGATGAACATCCGTGGAGGGATCCAGGCAAAGCCGATGAGTCAGATGCCTTCTATGACCTCCTGTCACAGGTGCTGGCTAAAGTGGCCCCTCGGGATAGGGTCATCATGTTGGGTGACTTCAATGCCCGAGTTGGTCATGATGCTGGCACCTGGCCTGGAGTGATTGGAGGGCATGTGCCGGATCAGCTCAATAACAACGGTAGGAGGCTGCTAGATTTTTGTGCAGCCCATGGGCTTGTAATTACCAACACGCTGTTCCGGCATCGGCGCATCCACACAGCATCATGGAGGCATGCCGGGTCCAAGCAAGAACATCTGCTGGACTACATAGTGACGGACCGGGGGATGCGAGCCCATGTCCTTGACACCAGGACCTACCGTGGAGCTGATCTGCCCTCTGACCATCGACTTGTCATCTGTAAGATGCGCCTGCCATTCTTCCACTCCGGTGGTGGGTGTACACCCAGGACCCCATTCCAACCTAAAGTGGCCTGGTCTCAGTTATCTGATGAAAGTTGCAAGCGAGAATTTCATCATCGCTTGCGGCTGGGATTGGCATCGTCCCCCACTCCTCCTGATGTCGAGGGTAAATGGGCGAGGTTTAGGACTGTGACTCATGCAGCTGCAATGGCTGCTTTGGGTACGCGGTCCAGACCTCCCCAGAGACCCTGGCTGACAGAGGAGGTGTTCAGGATGGTTTAGAAAGAGCGACAGGCCCACTGTCATCGGCTACAGCATCCCACGTCAGAGAATGAGGAGGCTTACCGCAGCCTTCGCTCGGAGGTTCGGAGAGCCGTGAGGCGCTGCAAGGATGGGTGGTGGTCGCGGGTTGCTGAGGAGATGGAGTCTGCCTCAGTGGCCCGTGATCACAATTCTCTATTTAACTCCATCAAAAAAGTAACCTGCAGCGCCACACCTATTACCATCATTAGGGGAAAAAACGGTGATCCAATCTCCGACCCCCAGCAACAGATTTGCAGATTTGCTGAGCATTTCTGTGAGGTCCTGGGGGAGGGAAAATCCCTCAGCCAGGAAAACATCGTGGCAAAAAGTGGGGATGACCTTGCTGAGGCTGCGGTGCCTCAAATATTGGAAGAAGTCACCCCCTGTAAGTGGCTGGCTGAGGTGCCATCTGTTGAGGAAGTACTGAAGGCGATCCAGAGTCTGAGACCAGGAAAGGCAGCGGGCAGAGATGATCTCCCAAGTGAAATGCTGAGCGAGGGTGGCGTTTGTGCACTGGACGGGTTCCGCTGGATTGGAAGGATGCCCTGGTGGTCCCCCTCTTTAAGAAGGGGGACCGCACAGACTGTAACATCTACAGGGGCATCTCACTCCTCAGTGTGCCAGGAAAGGTCCTGGCAAGGATTATTCAGCATCGCCTTGCCAGGCACGCTGAGGAGAGGCTTGCGGAGCCCCAATGCGGTTTCAGGAAAGGGCGGTCCTGCACAGATGCCATATTTTCTGTCCATCTGCTACAGCAGAGGTGTAGGGAATTCCAGCAAGACCTACATCTCTGCTTTATTGACCTGGTCAAGGCCTATGATACCATCAGTAGGCCTGGGCTCTGGGTTGTTCTTCGTGCTTTTGATGTCCCTGACCATCTGCTCACGATCATTAAGGACCTTCATGATGGTGAGCGGGCCCGGGTAAAACTACGTGGCCGGGAGTCAGAGCCATTCCCTGTACACCTTGGGGTGCGACCGGGATGTCCTCTGGCTCCCACATTATTTAACATCTATTTTGACCACGTAGATCGTGAAGCCTTCAATAGCTGTACCGCGGGAATCTCCATATGGTACAGATATAATGGGAGGCTGATCGATGCCCGGGTCCGGTCAAGGGATGGCTCCCTTTTGCTCAACCACGTTATGTATGCCGATGATTTGGTAATAGCTGCTCAGTCAGAGGAGGAGTTGGAGACGCTGCTGCTGAGACTGGAGCGTGCCACTAAGAGATGGGGCCTTACCATCAGCCCCACCAAAACTAAGCACCTGCCTGGGTATTTTGAACTATCGGACACTCCACCCCCACAACTCCCAATCGGTGATGGGGCAGTTGTGGAGAGAGTGGAGAGTTTCCCATACCTGGGAAGTGTGCTTATGACCGACTCCAGTTTAACAGCAGAGGTCTCACTCCGAATCAGTCGAGCGGCAATATCTTTTAATCGGTTGCGTAACGCTGTGTGGAAGCTACCTGGTCTGTCGCTCCGCACTAAGCTTCAGGTCTTCTCGGCCACGGTCATTCCCTCCCTTCTCTCCGTTTGCGAAACGTGGACCCCCCTAATGGAACATCTTTGCCGGTTAGAAACATTTAGGCTGGCCTGCCTACGATCCATCCTGGGTTTAACCAGACTGGATTGTGTGAGAAGCTCACAAATCCTTGAAAGATCTGGGCAAGGTCCCATCGGTGAGCTCCTCCGGCGGGGAAGGCTTCGATGGCTGGGTCATGTAGCCCGCATGCCCAGCCACCGCATGCCGAAACAGCTTTTGTTCGTCCGGATCGAGGGGGCTAAACGGGCGGCGCGGCACGGGCTAGAGAAGAGATGGAGTGATGTGGTACAGGAGGACGTGGAGCTGAGTGGACTTGCCGATGACTGGTACCAGCGGTGTCAAGATCGGCCTCTGTGGAGGAGGCTCGTGAAGGATGCTACTGGGCAGTTGGAGGCAGTCGCCCTCCAACAACAACGGAGGGCGGAGGAGCGACGCTCACAACAACGAGCGGAGCGCCGGGTGGCTAAAGCACAGCAGGTTGGCACAGTAGGGGGCACAGGTGGTGCATCAGCCAGTCATCTCAGTCAGTCGACCCGTGGCACCTGGGTCTGCCCCGTGACCTCCTGCCAGCGGGCGTTCGACACTTCACGTGGCCTCAGGGTGCACATAGCCTGGCACAAGCGTCGTGGTGACGTCACCGCCACTTAGTGGCGAATGGCGGTTGTTGTTGTCTATCTGTGTGTGTCTAAGTGTGTGTGTGTGTCTATCTGTGTGTGTCTATCTGTGTGTGTCTAACTAACTATGTGTGTGTCTATGTGTGTGTGTCTATGTCTGTGTGTGTCTAAGTGATGCCCATAAGCTGCTGTCCCACGCGGCCTCCCAGGGGCTTCCTCACGCACAGCGGACACTACAGGAGCTGTGTCAGAAGGGACGGTGTCCCACTGCAGACAACAACAACACTTAGACAACATCAACAACAACATCAACAACACTTAGACAACAACAACAAGACACTACAGGAGCTGTGTCAGAAGGGACGGTGTCCCACTGCAGACAACATCAACAACAACACTTAGACAACATCAACACTTAGACAACATCAACATCAACAACATCAACAACATCAACAACATCAACACTTAGACAACAACAACAACAAGACACTACAGGAGCTGTGTCAGAAGGGACGGTGTCCCACTGCAGACAACAACATCAACAACAACACTTAGACAACATCAACAACAACAACAACATCAACAACATCAACTACATCAACAACATCAACAACAACATCAACTACAACAACATCAACAACATCAACAACATCAACATCAACAACATCAACAACATCATCAACAACATCAACAACATCAACATCATCAACAACAACATTAACAACATCTACAACAACATCAACAACAACAACATCAACAACAACATCAACTACAACAACATCAACAACATCAACAACATCAACATCAACAACATCAACAACATCATCAACAACATCAACAACATCAACATCATCAACAACATCAACAACAACAACACTTAGACAACAACATCAACACTTAGACAACAACACTTAGACAACATCAACAACAACACTTAGACAACATCAACAATAACAACAACACTTAGAGACACACAGAAACCCCTATAGAGACACACAGAGACCCCTATAGAGACACACAGAGACCCCCTATAGAGACACACAGAGACCCCTGTAGAGACACACAGAGACCCCTATAGAGACACACAGAGACCCCCTATAGAGACACACAGAGACCCCTATAGAGACACACAGAGACCCCTATAGAGACACACAGAGACCCCTATAGAGACACACAGAGACCCCTATAGAGACACACAGAGACCCCTATAGAGACACACAGAGACCCCTATAGAGACACAGAGACCCCTATAGAGACACAGATACCCCTATAGAGACACACAGAGACCCCCTATAGACACACACAGAGACCCCTATAGAGACACACAGAGACCCCTATAGAGACACAGAGACCCCTATAGAGACACACAGAGACCCCTATAGAGACACACAGAGACCCCCTATAGACACACAGAGACCCCTATAGAGACACACAGAGACCCCTATAGAGACACACAGAGACCCCCTATAGAGACACACAGAGACCCCTATAGAGACACAGAGAGACCCCTATAGAGACACACAGAGACCCCTATAGAGACACACAGAGACCCCCTATAGAGACACACAGAGACCCCTATAGAGACACACAGAGACCCCTATAGAGACACACAGAGACCCCTATAGAGACACACAGAGACCCCTGTAGAGACACACAGAGACCCCTATAGAGACACACAGAGACCCATAGAGATACATAGAGACCCCTATAGAGACACACAGAGACCCATAGAGATACATAGAGACACACGGAGACACACAGAGACACACGGAGACACACAGAGACTCATAGAGACCCATAGAGATACATAGAGATACACAGAGACACAGAGACCCATAGAGACCCACAGAAACACACCGAGAGACACGGAGACACACAGAGACACACAGAGACCCATAGAGACCCATAGAGACACACAGAGACACACGAAGACACACAGAGACACAGAGACTCATAGAGACCCATAGAGACACACAGAGACACACAGATACCCATAGAGACCCATAGAGACATACGGAGACACACAGAGACACACAGAGACTCACAGAGACCCATAGAGATACATAGAGCCACACAGAGACACACAGAGACCCATAGAGACCCATAGACACCCATAGAGACCCATAGAGACACACAGAGACCCATAGAGACCCAGAGAGACACACAGAGACACACAGAGACACACAGAGACCCATATAGATACATAGAGACACACGGAGACACACAGAGACCCACAGAGACACATAGAGACACATAGAGACCCATAGAGACACACAGAGACACACAGAGACACACAGATACCCATAGAGATACATAGAGACACACGGAGACACACAGAGACCCACAGAGACAAATAGAGACACATAGAGACCCATAGAGCAACACAGAGACACACAGAGACCCACAGAGACCCATAGAGACACACAGAGACACACAGAGACCCACAGAGACCCATAGAGACACACAGAGACCCATAGAGATACACAGACACACAGAGACACACAGAGACCCATAGAGACCCATAGAAATACACAGAGACTCATAGAGACCCATAGAGACACACAGAGACACATAGAGACCCATAGAGACACACAGAGACACATAGAGACACACAGAGACTCATAGAGACCCATAGAGACACACAGAGACACATAGAGACCCATAGAGACACACAGAGACACATAGAGACACACAGAGACTCATAGAGACCCATAGAGACACACAGAGACTCATAGAGACCCATAGAGACACACAGAGACACATAGAGACCCATAGAGACACATAGAGACACACAGAGACACATAGAGACCCACGGAGACCCATAGAGACACACAGAGACACATAGAGACTCATAGAGACCCACAGAGACCCATAGAGACCCATAGAGACACACAGAGACACACAGAGACACATAGAGACCCACAGAGACCCATAGAGATACATAGATATACATAGAGACCCATAGAGACTCATAGAGACCCATAGAGATACACAGAGACCCATAGAGATACATAGAGACACACAGAGACACACAGAGACCCATAGAGACCCATAGAGACACACAGAGACACATAGAGACTCATAGAGACCCACAGAGACCCATAGAGACCCATAGAGACACACAGAGACACACAGAGACACATAGAGACCCATAGAGACCCATAGAGATACATAGATATACATAGAGACCCATAGAGACTCATAGAGACCCATAGAGATACACAGAGACCCATAGAGACCCATAGAGATACATAGAAACACACGGATACACACAGAGACACACAGAGACCCATAGAGACACACAGAGACACACAGAGACACATAGAGACCCATAGAGACCCATAGAGACACACGGAGACACACAGAGACACACAGAGGCCCATAGAGATACATAGAGATACATAGAGCCACACAGAGACACACAGAGACCCACAGAGACCCATAGAGATACATAGAGCCACACAGAGACACACAGAGACCCACAGAGACCCATAGAGACACACAGAAACACACAGAGACCCACAGAGACACATAGAGACACACAGAGACCCATAGAGATACACAGAGACACACAGAGACCCATAGAGACCCATAGAGATACACAGAGACATACGGAGACACACAGAGACACACGGAGACACACAGAGACACACAGACTCATAGAGACCCATAGAGACCCATAGAGACCCACGGAGACCCATAGAGACACACAGAGACACACAGAGACTCATAGAGACACACAGAGACACACAGAGACACATAGAGACCCATAGAGACACACAGAGACCCATAGAGACCCATAGAGACACACAGAGACACACAGAGACACATAGAGACCCATAGAGACACACAGAGACCCATAGAGACACACAGAGACCCATAGAGACCCACAGAGACCCATAGAGATACATAGAGACCCATAGAGACACACAGAGACCCATAGAGACCCATAGAGACCCATAGAGATACATAGAGACATACGGAGACACACAGAGACACACGGAGACACACAGAGACACACAGATACTCATAGAGACCCATAGAGACCCATAGAGACCCATAGAGACCCATGGAGACACACAGAGACTCATAGAGACACACAGAGACTGATAGAGACCCATAGAGACACACAGAGACACACAGAGACCCATAGAGACCCATAGAGATACATAGAGACACACGGAGACACACAGAGACACACAGAGACCCATAGAGACCCATAGAGACACACAGAGACTCATAGAGACACACAGAGACTCATAGAGACACATAGAGACCCACGGAGACACACAGAGACACACAGAGACTCATAGAGACAGACAGAGACCCATAGAGACCCATAGAGATACATAGAGACACACAGAGACACACTGAGACCCATAGATATACACAGAGACACACAGAGACCCATAGAGACCCATAGAGACACACAGAGACACACAGAGACACACAGAGACCCATAGAGACACACAGAGACACACAGAGACCCATAGAGACCCATAGAGACACACAGAGACACATAGAGACACACAGAGACTCATAGAGACCCATAGAGACACACAGAGACACACAGAGACCCATAGAGACCCACAGAGACACACGGAGACACACGGAGACACACAGAGACACACAGAGACCCATAGAGACCCATAGAGACACACGGAGACACACAGAGACACACAGAGACCCATAGAGACCCATAGAGACCCACGGAGACACACAGAGACACACAGAGACCCATAGAGACCCATAGAGATACATAGAGACACACGGAGACACACGGAGACACACATAGACCCATAGAGACCCACAGAGACACACGGAGACACACGGAGACACACAGAGACACACAGAGACCCATAGAGACACACAGAGACACACAGAGACTCACAGAGACCCATAGAGATACATAGAGACACACAGAGACACACAGAGACCCATAGAGACCCATAGAGACTCATAGAGACCCATAGAGCAACACAGAGACACACAGCGACCCACAGAGACCCATAGAGACACACAGAGACACACAGAGACCCACAGAGACCCATAGAGACACACAGAGACCCATAGAGATACATAGAGACCCATAGAGACACACAGAAACTCATAGAGATACACAGAGACTCATAGAGACCCATAGAGACACACGGAGACACACAGAGACACACAGAGACACACAAAGACCCATAGAGACCCATAGAGACACACGGAGACACACAGAGACACACAGAGACTCATAGAGACACACAGAAACCCATAGAGATACATAGAGACCCATAGAGACACACAGAAACTCATAGAGATACACAGAGACTCATAGAGACCCATAGAGACACACGGAGACACACAGAGACACACAGAGACTCACAGAGACCCATAGAGATACATAGAGCCACACAGAGACACACAGAGACCCATAGAGACCCATAGAGACACACAGAGACTCATAAAGACACACAGAGACTCATAGAGACACATAGAGACACACAGAGACACACAGATACCCATAGAGACCCACAGAGACACACGGAGACACACGGAGACACACAGATACACACAGAGACCCATAGAGACCCATAGAGACCCACAGAGACACACGGAGACACACAGAGACACACAGAGACCCATAGAG